AAACCCTAAACCCTAAACACTGTGAGCCCCGAGCCTCACTGTCCATAAGTTGCCCCACCCGAGACCCAGTGTCCGATGCAGGGGGCACAAGATACACACGCTTTCAACAATAGTAACACTGCTAAAAATGCTAAGAGTCTAGGTTCCTGAGTGACCCCTTAATAATACGGGTACCCTGTTTCCTGTTATTCAGTTTTTATACAGGAACCAGACAACAAAAAAGGGCAAAAGGGTACTACTCAGGAACCTAGGAATAGTGAATGTAGTACTCATAGTAATACAAGAAGAGTCATAACTATAATCATAGCACAAGTAGTAACCGTCGTAGTTTGAGCAAACATTTGAACCAGAAGAAAAGTGGACATATTGAGCCGCAAGGGTGATCCCCGTGATAACCGGGACAACCTTTTTTTTGATGGATTATCGGCCTGCCTTGCTTGGTCTTCGTGGAGGCCACTCACCCCAAGCCTGAAACCTGAAACCCCAAACCGAACACGCGGGCTTTAGCCCTCCAAGCCTTGAGCCCCTCGACTACTATTGATGATATAAACCCAGCATTACCTTAAGGACCCTAAGCTATGGGAATTATGGGTCTATTCCGTATTATGGGTACTGCAGGATTTGTAACATCAACCGTATTGATGCCTCTAAACCCGCAACACCTAAACTTGATGAACTTCTGACCAGGAATCTCGCATTCCCCGAATCGTTCCAGCTTGTGCTTTCGTATTGAAGCTTAGGGTTAGGCTAGGGTTTAGGGTTTATGATGGGGTTTTGGGGGCTTACGGCTTTCTGGTTTTCAGGTACCTGTACTCCAGGAGGCTTTTCGCGCTGGCGACCCTCAAGAGCGATGCTTAGCGATTCCTCAGTCTCCCCTGTGGTCCCTTATTATACTCTTACAGTCCCTGTACATTAATTCTTTATTGTTATCGTAACACCCCGTGAGACAAGACATAGATTATGTTGCCAGCCCTAAAAAGCAAGATATGCATGTTATACCTTCACCCCCTAAAAAGAAGAAGATATGCGTTATACATCAACTCTACTAGCTTCTTAAGTAGAACTCTAAACCCTAAACCCTAAACCCTTAACCCTAAACCCTAAACCCTAAGCCCTAAGCCCTAAACCCTAAATTCTAAACCCTAAACCCTAAACCCAACTCCAGAGCAGCCCCCGACTTCCGTTAAAGTTGCTCTCAGCCGTCCTCAAACTTCGGAGCTTCCACGGTGAACCTCCGGTTTTGTGGGTTTAGGTTTTAGGGTTTAGGGGAGTTTAGGGCCTTTTCGGTTCAGGGCTGCGGGTTCTAAGGCTGAAGGTTCAAGGTTGCCTTGCTCAGCGCTGGCTTGCGGTTTGGAGTGTTAGGGCTTAGTTGCAATTGAGGGTTTACGGTGTAAAGTTTAGGACTTCCTGAAGGGTTTAAGGCGTAGGATGTATTGTGTTTAAGGCGTAGGGTTAGCGATGAATTATGGCTGAGACCCCGTAGACCGTACTTTTGACACCCACCAAGCCGCACTTCTGCATGCGGCAGCCCACAGGCCCTCAACCCCATACATTGTCAACCCTAGAATCTGAACCCCAAGCCCGAAACCCAAAACCATGAACCCCAAACCCTAAACCCGAAACCCCAAACCCTAAACCCTCAAACCCTAAACCCTATACCCTAAACCATAAGCCTTAAACCGTAAGCCCTAAACCAGCTGTCTGTGGTAGCCTCCAAACCCTCGCTGATACCTTCAACCGCCCTACTTTCAACGCCCGTTTGAGCTATTGGTTACTGGTTGTTGGTTATTGGTTGAGGGCTTTAGGCTTTAGGTCTAGGGCCGGTCTAGGGTTTAGGGTTTCGGGTTAAGGGTGTAGGATCTAGTTTTGAATTCTAAACCCTCAAACGCCGAAGCCTCTAAGCCCATGGCCCTAAGCCCTAAACATCCCTAAACCCGAATCTGTTTGCCAGCCGCCTGTCCACATTGCTTTCTGTCACGCCGACCCCCGCCCCGGCCACGTCTTCCTGCTGGTTCGGAGCTTTCCCCGTCATCAGGAGCTCCAGTAGTCCTTCGAAGCTTCCCTCTAACAGCTCAGCAGCATTTGCTGAGGGCCGCTGGCCAAGAACTGTACGAAGGTCAAGCCTGCGGTTCTGCTCCAAATCCGTTACTCTATGACACTTTTCTTCAATGCTCTTCTTGAGAGCTACGTCGGCCGAGTCCAGGAAAACCAAACGGTCACTCGGAAACACGACAGTCGTGCTGCGCTCAGGGATTTCCCAAGCACCCACTCGCCCATCACCGCCATGGATCACTGCAACAGGGCTGATGCCGAACCTCTGGCGCATGTTCATGTACCGCAGCTTCAGGCTACAACCACTGCCTTCTCCGTCCGTAAAGCAACGCCAGAATTGTGGTTCGTCCTTGAGCCGTGCAAGCAAGGCATCGGCCTGGTCTTCGCGGCATACAGCTGCGGGAAAAGCATCTTTAGGATAGGTGGCCAATATATTTATAGGAAGATACTCAAGGGCTACTTTTCCATCTGCTGCGAACTCTTCCACAAACCTCTTCAGCTTTGGACCAGTGACAGTCACGTTCTTGGCTTCGTCAACCATGTACAAACTGCCAAAGGCTTGCAGCAGCTTATGTTGGCACTCAGAGTCTATTGTCACATCCACATACTGGTCTAAAATTGGAAGGATCCAACACTCATCCCCGGGCCACAGTTTATCCTGAGGTCCGGGCAAGTCGTCAATCCACGGTTGTTTCTTCCTCGCTAACTTTTCTGAGAGATGCTCTGGATGGTGCAGTATACGGACAACCTT